AAAAAGCTGAATTATGCATGGATTCAGACGATATTCATTAAGACAATCAAAAGAGAAAAATTCATAATTCGTAACAGGTTGCACCGGTAGATTCAAACAACATGGAAGTGTTCGAATTCGCAGCCGGGGATAATTATGAAGTATGTATATGAGATAGTGCTTTTATTATCGATTTTTTGAAAAACGCATGTCTTATATATATCGAATAAGAATAATTAAAAATAACTCTTAGTTTATTCAATTCAAAAATAATTAAATCTATTTTAAAAAATATATACCATTCTCGCGCGTATCATTCTATTATAGCTTTTCAAAATTTCAAGTGAACAAAATGATCACACTTACAATATTATTATATTATGCAGTAGATTGTGTCAATAATTTTTTGAAACTCATGTACATATTATATATTTTTAAAACAGATAAATTGTGCATGCATTCAGTCGATATATTTATTAAAACACTCAAAAAGTATATTCAAAATTCGTTATTAAATTAAATTTTTAAACTCTTAACTTAATTTTTTTAAACTCTTAAACTTTTTTAAACTTTTAAACATGTACATATTATATATATTTTAAAAGAGCTAAATTATGCATGCATTTAGTCCCACACAGCACAAAAACTCAACAGAAATGATGCAGAAACGTTTCAAAGTTTCAAAAAAGTTTTAAGTAACACTGAAACGTCATTATAACATTTAAGAAACATAACATAGAAAAAGTAATATTTGAAACATTTATGCAATCTTTCATAAGACACTCAAAAAGAAGAACATTCAAAATTCGTAACAGGGTATACCGGCAGACTCAGACAAGGAAGAAATCGTAGTCAAGGATCAGAAAAGCATGTTATTACCATTGATAAACATGTTAATGCATGAGGAGAAGTTAATTGACGAGATTGCTTTTTTGGATGAATTTCCTTCGACTGACGTGATTCTCCCCGTATGGAACTGTAGTCCAAGAGAAGTCATCAAGTATCTAAAAGGTGTACGTGATTACCCTTATCCAAAAACTTATGCTTTATTAAGGATCTATTATAAATACAATATAAATGGTATAAATGGTCCGATAACGCGTGAATATGTGTTTACTGATGATATGTCTCTCGTCGACGATATCATCATTATATGTTATTTGAGTTATTTAGAACCACAAGATCTAAATTTGCCAGGAATACATCATTTATTTTTATGATAGAGAACAAATACAGAATTGCGTCCGAATGCAAGATAGTTCAGTCACCGCATCCTTATACTACCTGGTCTCACATATTTTATTCTTTTCCAAGCATAGTTTTGGCATTTATTTATGCAACCCCTTCTTCAGACTTGTGGATACATTTTTTTTTTTTTTTTAATTAAACACCTGTTATGATGTTTTTTCATTACAATCTAGTTTTACAACTAATAAGTAATTTGTATTTGACTTAATTTACTATTGGATGATCTTGGATTACTAAGCACTTATCCATTGATAGTACCTTAGTTTTTACTGTCTAATATAAAACACAAGTTTGTCGTGCATTAGTTTACAACATTATATTAGTTCGAAAGGTTTTACTCTCTTTAATCTTCTTACTAAATTATCATTGTCCAGGAGTCGCTTTGCTTCGTCGTTGACATGTTGACAGAGTCTATGTTTGTGGCTCTTGGCGAATTTCTTAATTACATTATCGACAAATTCTACTTGTAGATCCTTATGTAGATTGTCGTGACGTATGTACCATGGTGCATTTGCTATATCGCGGAGTACTTTGTTTTGGAATCGTTGAATTATGTTTCTGTTACTTTGACGAGTACAGCCCCAGAGCTGAATGCCATAAGTCCATATTGGTTTAAGGACTTGTTGGTAGAGCAAAAGCTTATTATATGTTGACAGGGAAGAGTATCTTCCGATTAACCAGTACATTTTTTTGTATTTTAGGCTGAGTTCTTCTTTTTTCTTTTTTACATGAGGTTTCCACCGTAGCTTTGCGTCTAATGTCATACCTAGATATTTGGCCGTGTTTGAGTAAGGAGCTACCTGATGATTTATATATACCGGTTTGTAGTCTATCCTTTTATTGGTGAAATCAACATGAACAGATTTCGATTCATTTAATTTAATTCGCCATTTCTTTGTCCAGCATTCTATTTCGGCGATGGCTGCTTGTAGTTTTTCTGTTGATTCAATATTATTATCACCAACTGCCATAATTGCGGTGTCATCGGCAAATGTAGCAACAATATTATTTTCTAACACAGGTAGGTCGCTAGTATATAGGAGGTATAGGACCGGCCCCAATACACTGCCTTGCGGTACTCCTGCTTTGATTTCCTTTAAGTCAGAATAAGCATCTTCTTGCTTAATCCTGAAGTATCTTCCTGATATATAGGATTGTAATATTTTTGTATATTGTACAGGAATGAGTATTTTGAGTTTATGCATTAATCCTTCATGGCAAACTTTATCAAAAGCTTGTGCCACATCCAGGAATATTGTGGAGCATACCTTTTTTTCCTCTAACGTTTTTTCAATTATGCTTGTTATTCGGTGTACTTGATCGATTGTAGAATGACTATTCCGAAAACCAAACTGGTGATTTGGGATTAGGTTTTTCCTCTCTATGATAGGTTTCAGTCTTTTCAAAAGAAGCTTCTCGAACAATTTCGACATTATTGGTAATAAAGATATTGGCCGGTATGAGGTTGCTTCATGTGGCGATTTACCTGGCTTAGATATCATAATAACCTCTGCTAATTTCCAACTTTGAGGTACGTATTTTAATCGAAATGAAGCATTGATTAGATTGGTTAATTTCACCAATGCATTTCTTGGAAGCTCTTTTAGTATTTGTCCGGTTATTAAATCAAATCCAGGGGCTTTCTTTGGATTAATGTTGTTTTTAATCATATCTTTGATCTCTGCTGGCGATGTTGAGGGGATTGCTTCATTGTCCTGATTTATTTTTGTATTGATTGTATTGATTGTATCATTATCCTCTCCTATATTGGGTTGGAATATAGATTCTAGATGTTCTGCGAATCTTATTGCTTTTTGTTCATTGTTTCTAGCCCAGCTTCCATCTGTGTTTTTAATCGGCGGAACTTGCATGATGGGTCTCTTGAGTTTTTTAGTTGTTTTCCACAGTGAGTAATCTGTATTTTTATCACTTGTCAATTCTCTCAGGTAGGCACTTACAGAGTCATTTTTAATTGTTTAATTGTATTTCTCAGTTGCGACGTGAGATTATTCAATATAGTTTTGTCTTGTGGAGCTCTAGTTTGGTGCCATTTTCTTCTTGCTTTTCGTTTTTCTGCAAGTAACTCTCTAATTTCTCGTGGATAGTTATTGCCTTTTAGCCTCTTTTTGATTTCAGGGGTATTCTTCTATGCTGCTTGCTGAATATTAATAACAAATTTCTCTACTTCCGAGTCCAATTGTTCTTTTGTTTGTAAGGGTACTGCTAGTTTAATTTTTTCTTCTAAGCTTCTTCTGAAGTTTGCCCAGTCTGTCTTTGTGTTGGTAAGAACTGGATTATTCGCTTTTTGAATGATATTTTCACTTAGTGTTAGCATGATAGGAGAGTGGTCCGAATTCATATCTTGGTAATCTTCAATATGTAGGTAGTTGCATGAAACGTTTTTAATTATGAAAAAATCAATTAAATCGGGAACCTTAGCCGGATCAGTGGGCCAGTAAGTCGGTTTTCCAGTTGAAAGAGGTTCACATTTATATTCTTTTATTGCATTAAGAAGTTCTTTTCCTTTAGTGGTTATCAGCCTTGATCCCCAATACGTATGTTTTGCATTGAAGTCTCCACCAATGATGAATCTATTTCCGATATTTTTAAATACTTCCATGTATTGCTTCTTCTTGATTGCATGTTTTGGCGGACTATACACACTTGCTATTGTTATAGTACATTTTTTTGTTTTAATGTTAACCGCCATTACCTGTATTTCTTCTGTTTCGATTTTTGATTCTTCATTATGGTAGATGTTTTCTTTAATTATAATTCCACTTCCACCCTTAGCTGAATTATCAGGATGTAGGGCATGATAGAATTTATAGTTTCTTAGTTTTATGTATGTTTGTTTAGTGAAGTGCGTTTCTGATATAAGGCACACATCAATTTTATTTATGTCTAGGAATGCTTGTAGTTCATGTTGATGTTTAATAGTCCGTTTGCATTCCATGATAGTATTCTTAGGGAGTTAGCCATTTTTCTTTGATTTAGGGATTGCTCCCTTAGTGCACTTTTCTAGTATTTTTAAACGCTTGTGGCGATAAATGCCACAAGAATATTAAAATATAAAAAAGTAAAATGTACACGAAATAAAAATACATGACAAGCGACGAGTGTTAAGGATATCGCGACCGGTGACACAAAATAATAAATAAATAAATAAGCGTCTAGCATGACGAAGGTAGATTATGATTTCCGAACAGAATAAAAAGCGAAAGTCTTCAAAATAATAGATAGACTAATCACCTAAAAATAAAAATAAGGTCGTGGAAAAATCGAGAGAATCAAGACGATACGCGGCTTCGAAGGGCAGATAGATTTTGACTCGCGCTCGCGATACACGGTTTTCCTCGGTGGAGAGTAAAAGTCTGTATTTGATAATCCGAATAAACGCAGTAAAAGACAATATAATTATAACACCTATTAACTATTCCGTCTTAACGATCCTCTCCCGATTCGCGATATTGATAGAACAATAATTAACGAACTAAGCCACACGCTCGCCCAAACGCTCATTATATTCACTGAATTGGGTTTGTTGTTTATCTAATTTTTGTAGGATGATCTTAAGAGTATCATTGATATTATCATCATCATCCTTAACAATCTGGGAGTAGGTTTTTCGCGTATTTTTTGGTTGTGGTTGAAATGTTTGTTTTCTGGAATTTTTATCTTCATTTGGTATTATTTTATAATTTATTTTTCTGATGATTTTTGAGTATTAATGCTTTTAGTATTTTTATTTTTAAGTCTTTGCATCTCCTTTGCTACCATGCATCCTCTATAGTTGGCTGGATGATTTTCTCCACAATGAACACATTTTGGTAACTCATTATCTTTTTCTTACATTCTTTAAAATAATGTTTTCCAGCACATTTAACGCATCTTGGTTCTCTGTTGCAATATTGTTGGGTATGTCCGTACGCTTGACACTTTTTGCATTGCGGTATCAATTTATTTGTTTTAAGTGGTTGAATTTCCACTTTACAATTCATAATATTGCTGATTTGGAAGATTTTGTTAATATCTTCTTCTGTGTCGAAGGATAACACAAACATATCTAATGGTTCTTTCCTTTTCCAGCTTTGTTTGTTAACTACATTTTGAACTTTAAACCCTTGTCTTGTCAAGTCCGCTATTATGTTTTCTTCCTTGCTAGAATGATGTAGATTTTTAGCCATAACACGTATGGGTCTTATCTGTTTATTTTCATACGAGTGAAAGCTGAGGTTATTAGTTTTTAGAATATTAACTAATTGTCGGTAGGCATCACTATTTTTTGCATTAATTTTAATATTATTTTTATTCATAACTTTTACTTGGAAGTCATTTTCTGCTATGTCTTTCTTAATAATATTATAAAATTCATCATAGTTTTGAATATCATCCATCATAATTGGTGGTGGTAATAATGTCTTTTTTATTTTTGTCTCTGTTTCTGTTGGTGTCCCCGTAAGTTTTTTTATTAGTTGAGGGGGAGTAAGAGATGTGTTTAACTTTCTTTTCTTATTTTTATTTTTAATTCTAATCCATTCTGTCTCTTTAGCTAACTCTTCCTCATCAGTTTCGTAATTGATATTATTGATAGTACTCTGTGGCGTACTCACTCCCTCCGATTTCAGCTTTCTCAGCTCTGAGCTCAATTCATTCAGCTGTTGTTGCAGTTTGTTTACTGTTTTCTCTAGCGATTTTCTAATCATCGTTTCTTTTTTCCATTCTTTATAATAGTTGAGGTGTTGTTCCCTCTCATGTTGTTCGCTGTCTATCTCCATTCCAGAGCTGATTGCTGAAGAATTTTTTATAATATTGCTCAAAGATTTTAAGGATGGTGATCTCAATAACCTAGAACTTTTTTTACAGGGGTCATTAGGCTGCAATAGTTGGCTCTCCCCAGAATCCATAGAGCCGACCTCTTGAGAGGGTGGATTTTCCAGTAATACTGGTCTGCCACCTGGGGTAATATTTCCTGTCGTTTTATCCATTGCATTATAATGATTTAGTAGTTTATACCTTCTGCCAGGTGGTTTTTACTGCCGTTCCTCTGGGAATCAGACGCAGACCAGAAAGCCGCTCAGTATGAGTCAGACGCTTCTGGATTTATTGGATTTTAGTGGACTTTTACCACAAGCATTCCTTACTGCGGGTATTTCTATTGCCCTACCCGCCGGGCTATGTGGATACATATGGACCCAATATCTAGAATAAGGAAAATAATGATTTGGTGCCACCTGATTATTTCAGTTCTCCCTACATTAGAGTCAAATCTTTTCCCTTTAGTGCTTATCGCGACGGTAAGAATTAGATTAATTCAAATACTCTATGAAAATAATGTCCCGTTTAGTACAGAAACTCGATTGTTACAAATTTATTGGAATATCTTGTCATTATATTTTTCTAAAGCCTTTCCTGAATCTTTGAAATTGAAGTTATGCGAGAGATGGAACATTATACAAAGAGTCAATGAACACCAATATAAATATAACGATTATTTTGAACAACGTTATTCTCGCGTTAGAAGATTTTTATTAGACGTAGAATCACATGTGCTGAATCGCTCATCCAATTTTCTAGTATAACTTCCGTAACATATGTTCTGGCTTTATATGGTATTTAGCATTATATATACTTATAAATATAAATATGTACTTATTGTTACAAAGATTAAATACGATTTACTTGCTTTTGTAGTTATAACATTTAGAAAGCGCGAATTTCTTTCGGGACATTTTTATCAACTTGTATTAACATTTATTTAAGGTTTTATTGTATAAATGACAAACTAAATTGATGAAAAAATTATTTTAAGAAATCCAACTTATTCCAAAGAGAGTACATACATACATACATATATATGTATGCATGTATATGTATTTTTAATATTATATATGTACATATGAATGTATATCATGTATATTTTTTTTGGAGTAGATTAGATGTTTTTAAACAATTTTCTTTTTCATTTTTGGTTCATTAGAAATGCACAGACTACTAATAATATGTTATACATTTATTCAAATGTATAATAGTGGTTCTACGTTAAAAATACATTTTTTCGTGAATTGTTTAAAATTTTATTTCAGAAAGAATTATATTTAAAAAATGTATTTATATATTTGAGAATTTGTCATTATGACAGTTTGCTTGCGGCCAACTGATTTTTGCGAGAGATTTTTGCCAAAGTAAATCTGTTTATATTTTTGAGAGACATAATAAATTCAACTGTGCTACTTTATGTCTTTTATAGATGATAATTAAATTTAAATTGCAATAGAGTCAGCGCTAATGTTATTTTAAAGTCTTTTCGATATATTTTTAAAAATGTTTTTTTTCATTATATTTTCCAAAAATTGTGTACATATATTTGGAATTTTTAGATATTAAACATAAATAATTAATCATAACACGTTATATACTCTCTCTCTAAAATTTTTTATATTTAATTTTTTTAAATTTAAAACTAAACTTCAATTTTTTGTATGTAAAGTATTTTCTAAGTTGTTGACTTTTAATTTTTAATATATTTATAATTTTATTTTAATATCCTAAAACTTGGAAATACAACTACTAAAAAATATAAATTTTTAAATTGAAAACAATGCATACATATATATTTGTTAAAAGATCGAAAGGCTTTGAAATAATATACATTTTAAAATAATGCGACTAAACTTCTATTGTCAATTTAGATGAATAAAGGGATAATTATCTCTATAAAGAAGATAAAGTAGAACAGATGCTAAAAGGTTTTGTGGATGATAAATTTCGACCTTGTCATGAGGAATTGTTTGAGATGTCCATCAGCAGTCCATCAACCAAACAATTTTATGTGATACACTTTTTATATTCTGACCGAGTGATACATTTTTATACTATACTGACCAACTTTTTATACTTACTTACTATTTTTTTACTTACTGACTAATTTCTTATACTTACTATTTTTTATTTACTGACCAATTTTTTTATACTTACTTATTATTTTTTTTACTTTTGAAAAGAGGACTAAATCGTTTATATTTTTACGTTATTCTTTAGACACATGATATTTGTACTTTTTTGTGACTCACGACTTTTTAATAATTTTTATACATACTGTTTGTTATAAAATAATATTTTGTTCTAAGTTATAAGAGTCATGTTTCAATCTGGCAATAAGTATCTGACAAATTATAAAACAAATGTTAATATACGCAATTTGCTTCACAAAGCCTTTTCTTGTCTCTATTGAAATATCTGTACATCTTCGCAAATTTGTATAAAATTTTTTATTTAGTAACAAATTTATAAATCACAGTGTGCCTTCTTATAATTTGCTAATTTCATTTATTGAACAAATTGTGCGCGCGTATATATGTTTAGAATAATAAATTATATTTTATCTCATAAACATATATATTCCTTTTTATTATGTTAAAATAATTGTATCAATATCGTTTACTATGAGTTTGTTATAGTAAGTGGTTAATCAATATAACATAACTAATAATTTAATGCACAAAGCGGATTTACAATTATTTGTAAAATGTATTTATGTTACAAACTTAAAATATAAATAATATACATATAGTAATGTCTAACTTAAATTATGTGTCTTTTTTTATTATTTTGTCGCATGCTCTAGAATAATAATAATAATAAAAAGATGTTGACAAATTTTTCTGATGATGAAATCTGTAAAAATTATGATCGTGTCAAAAATCAAGTATTTTCTTTATCATAATGATAATTTTATTACAATTTCGTGAAATTTTCGATGTATATTTGTGGATGTATATATGAGAGAGATAAGTTTCTATTAATCTTGGAAAAATTATTTTCTAACAATTTCACATCTAATAATAATAATGATCAAAGAAAGAAATGTGATTAAAATGTTACGTGTCATTTATTTAAATGATGTCTTGTTACACACTTACTAAGAAATCATTTCTTTCTCCTAATAGCTGCTTGAAAATAATTCCAGAAAAATGACATTATTAAAAAGCTCCGAGCCTTTTACATCTTTTGTTATAAGCTACAATATTTGAGAAAATCAGCTGACTTTGCAGGGATCTAATTTTATATAGGATTTTTTAAATCTCGTACTAATCTTGTTACATCTTTTACATATATAAATTTCTGTCCAAATTTACGTATATTTATTATATATAAATTATATTATATATAATTTTATATATATTTACTATATATAAATTTATGCAATAGAAATTAATATATTTTTACACAGATATATAATTTTATTTATACATATATTATTTTAGTATTTTGGAATTGCTTAGAAACTTAGAAAAAAAATTGATATATATATATATCAATTTTTTATATATATATATATATATGCATATATTCGCATTTTTTATGAATTGGATATTAACAACATTGCAACGAAATATAACGCTCTCATCTAACTACAATTGTTGATAATACCGACAATTTTAATTCCTCCATTATCGACGCTAATATATAGGGTGTAACAAAATATGGGCTGCTGTTTCAGAAGCGCATTTTATTCATCGAAATGAGAAAAAAAGGTTACATAAATATATATTGAAAAATGCATTATTTTCACTTTACAAAATTTAAATTGAATAATAAAGTTTAAATTGAACTTGGGATAATAATTATAACGCGTATTTTTTTTTATTTCAGCGATTATTATTGGACATCCTGTATATATGCGAATTAATATTAATAAATTATACAAATATTTTGAATAATAATTCAAAATTAATGAATTTTCCGAAAATAAAATACAGATGAGAATCAATGTAATATAATAATTTTAAAACGATTATATATCTATTACAAATAAACAAATGCTACATAACATCAAAATAATAATTACTTAACACTTGTTATACATATAACATGTTACATTTTAAGTTGTATTATTATTTAATTTATTATAATCAGTATACAAAGCAATATAACAGTTCTATAATACAATTATATATTGTATATATAAAAATGTTATATAATATCACCGTAATATATAAATAGGGTGTAACATTTGTTATATTACTTGTTACTTTTATTTGCTGAGTAAATTTTACTTTTTTATGACAAAAACTTTTGCTTAATTTTTAATTATTATAACTGTGATGATAATTATGTGGCCATTTGTAAATATAATATTGTATAATTGTGTGTGTAAAATGCTTCCTATTTACATGACACTTTTATGACGTGTGTGATATGTAATTTAAGCTCAAGTCAACTTTAAAGATACATAATAATTTTCCAAAACAGAATTTATTAAAACTGATTTGTGTCACTAAATAGAGAAAAATACCTTTATTAATTATATTTATAAGTCAAATTTTATTTTTATTATAATTATATTTTTACTTAACTTACTTTTCGTATAACATATTCTCTATTCGCTATTCTGCGTTATCTTAAGATATTATTTATCCGATCACTAAATAGTTCCATTTATTTTGAATATAATCCGCAACTTTTATCATATTTCAATTGTTAAAACATTGAATGTATTTATTTTTCAGTTTAAAATATTCTGAATTTTTGTATGTTAATATGCAAAAGATATACATATATTGCTATATGATTTAATAGATATATATTAAAATCACTAATAAATTATAAAGAGTTAAAGAATGCAATGATGTCGGATATATTTGAAGAAATAATTCGAACTTTTAAGTATTGTTTAAAAATATTTTTTTTGAAGCTATAAAGTGATCGAATACTAAAAGTGCGAAGACAAAGAAATCTTTTCTTTAGAAAATTTATTTAAATCTCTTTGTCTGCATATTCTAGAAAGATTTATTTTTCTTAACATATACAAGTCGACATTATTGATAATTTTTATTTGTCAATGAGTATGAAAAAGACACAGATTGATTAATAAAATAACCAATAGCTTTATACTGAGCTTTGTTTTTGCTAATTTACATATATTTATATATTTTAGTTTAGTTTTTTAACTTTCTATATTTGTGGAACTTTTGATAAATTTTAGTAAGTACAGTTATTCTTTTTGATAAATAATATAATGACGAGAATATCTAAAATATTCGTCTTTTACTCCGATTCTAAAGTTAATATGCAAAGAAGACAAACAAGGTTAAATTAACACAGGTTAAACACAGATTTCTCAGAATTTTTCCTCCGTTCTCAACAATAAAACGTCATTATGTATCATCATTATTAACATCATTATCTCGTATGCTGACGAAAAAGCGACAATGTATTGCGATTTTACTTACACACTAGCAAGCATGCATAAAATTACTACACTTACGTACTCTTCTGCCTATTATTCTTACGGATTAATCTTATGGATTAATCTTACAGATTAATATTTTCTTTGTACGATTTTGTGCATCGCATGCACTAGGAACAAAGCAGCGATTTGCAGCAGAATCACGCCGATCAATCATTACATCCGAAGAAACCAGTTCTTCTAATTATAATTTTCAGAAATAACCGATAATAAAAATAATCTTATTTTTAAAAAAGCCAAATATAATTTTTATATTATAATAAAAATAAAAAAAATATTTTTACATAAAATTTTGTTTAAAAAATAAAATTAGTTTTCAATATTGAAAAATATGTATGTATATGCATATATATGAGAAAAATATTATTTATTTTTACAGGTAAAAGTATGTATATATAATTTTATATACACTTTGCAAATAGATAAATTTCAGCAGCAATAATTGAAGAATAAAAATTTGATTTTTTTTTTTAAAGAATATAAATGATTTTGATATTTTGCAAATAATTAGTTTTGCATTTTTGGGGAATATAATCGATTTTTCTTAAATATGCTGTGACATATCTGAAGAAAATCGATGTGGTATATTAATCGACATTCTGTCGCAAAACGCAGTATTTTACAAAAATCGATTCCTCATGGCGGAGGTCTTAGATACATATACATATATGTATTTGCGTGTCGCAGTTAAATTTTGATCAATGACAGAGGCAGAATAGGATGAAAGTATCGAGATTGTTGAGGTTAGCTTCGCAGAAGACTAGGAAATAATTGACTTTTCGCTTAACGGACTATTGACACAAAGCATGTAACTGTACTAAATATATACTGATATAGAAAATTTTTTTCGCTTCGCGCACACACAAACGCAATCTCTCTGTCTCTAATTAAATATAAATGATTGGAATCGTGTTTAATACATGGCCCGCATGAGCATATAAGCGATAAATGACAACCCAAGTAGCAAACTGACGTCATACGGACGTCACTTTGACGTTTAATGACGTCATTCGATGTCAACATGACGTACGCTTGCAACCTGAGATAAACCAATCGAACGAACTAGTATATAATAATCTGAAACTGTTTCTTATTAATAAAACAATAATTTGTAATTTTACATAAACAATGTATATATACATTGCATATATATACACACACACACACATACAAACACGCGTCTATGCATACACACATGCACTTATATACATACTGCATATATATGCATGTGTGCATGTTGTGTATAAAATATATGACATATGTATGTATTAAATGCACATTTTTCAAACATTTTTCGTTTTTGGGTTAAAACTTTCTTTATAGAGTTTGGAAAAATATATAAAGATATATAATTATTATTTTTTTTAATTCTTTTTTTAAACGCGAGAATTATCTTGAATTCTTTAAATGGGAATATATAAAGTTTGGTCAAAAAGGGACGAGAATGATTAATTTAATGTTTATACAAAATAGAAAACTAAATAAAATTGGTATAAAAAAATTCGTAAAGAATTATTATTCTATACAATTGTTTTTTTTTTTATAACATTGTGTAGGAGAGGAGTTATGTAATCTCGTGTATTCTCGTTTCTTTTTAGCCAGACCTTGCACCTATTTTTAACTGCAGATTCTTGATGTCAAGACGTTTTTAAGATGACCTAATAATTTTCTCCAAAGATACAAAACCTGCGTAAAGCAATCAGAATATCGAACATTTATTGAATTCAATTATTAATAAACATTGTTCGTAAATTAATATTTTCAAAACGAATAAATTTCCAAATAAAGAATTTATTATTAAGAGTTTAACTAGGCTCTGTAATATATAAATATAAATTTAACATATATAAGATAGGCAATAAGAGTCAAATCGCGGATGACAGTGCGTTATTCTAAACGAAACTAAATTTTTTCGTTAGAATTAAATACCTGTGCACAAGGCACCAAATTTTACTTGGACACGGCCAAGATATAAAATTGGAATAATCTCTACAAGAGATTTTTAATTCCATGTATCCCCTATTCCCCCTAAAGAAATAAATGTGAGAGAATTTATTATTATTAAATTAATCTGATTTAATGATTTTTACGAAAAATTATCATATTTTAAAAATCGGTGCAATTTCGTGCAAATTTCAAGAAAAAGTACGCTTATTTTTCGATGAAGAATACATGATATTATTTTTGCTTATCTAAAACATTCTCTATAGTACAGTTATATACATATATATATAGGATTTTTCATAAATAGGACATGAATCGGTACTTGTATTTTTTTTTTTTTTTTTTTAAAGCATTTTTCTTTTGGCAATATTTTGCGAAAATGTATCGTTTCCAAGATCTTATTTTTAATATATTATACATGAATTTGCTGTTTTTTGATTCTTTTTGTAAAAAGTTTTGGTAATTTTGTTAATAAGTCTAAAATATGAAATATCTTGCATAAATAATGTATTTCTTTGAAAATTATTAAAAATTTTTTTTAAAAGGTTTCTAAAAATTCCAAGGTTGAAGGTGTTTCATTTTTAATAAAAATACAGTATCACTAGTCTGTACCCTATCTATATAGGACACTGCATATATATATGCATATATGCATAAACATACATATACATGCGTATATATAAGGAGTTTCAAAAGGAAATCGACAAACTTTAGAAAAATGTTACTAAGGCAGAGTTACATATTTATATTCAAATTTTATAATTTCCTCATAATTCTCTTTAATAATCAATTTTATTTTTATTTTATCATTTTACTTAAATTTTCTGAACACATTGTTTGTCGATTTCGCTCCAAATACCTTTTGTGTGTACGTGTGTGTGCAAAATGTCCCAAAGTTAAACAATTATTTTGCCAGTGTCTTCTATAAGAAATTATAAAAAATATATAAAAATTCACCTATAAACGTTTTATTTTATTATCAAACAATATTAAACAAAAAAAAATGTATATACGCTTGTTTAAATTTAAAATACTAGTTTTTATTTTTAAAAAACTTATCTTATTAAGAAATTAAATTTAATGCTGTACTAATTTTTTTCATCTTGTTTCGAATGCTAAACTAATTTTTTCAATTTTATTACAAATTTTTATATAATTCATATTTTTGTGTCTTTTTTTCACAAATTCACAAATAAAATTGTAATAAAAACACAATTAGAATAAACAAATTAGATAAATATCGCCAACTTATTTTTATATTATATTAACAGCGTGTTCCCTATTAGTTTCATTTTAATGGGCTCTCATTTTCATTCTTTTTTATATATTTTATATCAGAGTTTTTATTGTAAATATTTTTATATTAATTTTAATTTTTATTATAACTTTGCAATAAAATATTTTCGATCCAATTACATAATTTTTCTTGTTTTTATCATAGAATATATAGTAAAGTTTAATTTAATGTTTAACTTTAAGATATTTTATTATATGCGTATTGGATGTAAGTGTATGTACATACAAAATATGCGTGTGATAAGCAAATGTCGCACTATTTTAGGAAATATTACGTTATTCTAAAAATTGTCTTGCAATTTAACATCTGTAAAAAGACGTTTATATCGCTAATGTGGCATGATTAAATAAAATGAAAAATAGGATAAAAAGAATATGTCAACGCATGTATTTAGAATGAATGTTCAAGTTGGGATTCTACTCAGACTTAATCCTGCTATACTGTATATCGTTATAATATAAAAATTCGTCAAATATACACAGCAATTAATTTAAAGATCTTGTTAAAAATAGTTGAAAGTACATATACATATTAATTAGCGCTCAAGGCTTTTATCATTTTATTATCATATATATAACAATCCAGATTCTTTTTATAAAATATATTGCTATATTTTTTATCAGTTAATGTAATTAAAATTTATTTAATTAAAATTTATTTCTCTTTTGAAAAAATATGTAATTTTGTTTTCAGCTTTATTTGACAAATATTTTACATCTTTCGCATCAATATCATACAATGGCCTATCCTGCTTAAATAATAATGATTTTGCGTGAATGATTAATGATAATTATTATAATTATCGAAAGTGTGATATGAAGTGTCATTTTTCAAATTCTCTTGATTGATCTATATATACCCACGCATCACCAATCGTGCACAATGCATAAACGAACTTGTCTATCATTAAAATAATGATAAATGAGAGAGTTTGGCCATGTGTGAAAAGACTTGTTTGATATCTACATCATCGTCATCGTCATCTCACGTATCGTGATTGTCATAGTCATTGTGCTATAAGAAGAGTGTAAGAATCGAAATTCGAAGAGTGATATTGTTCCTAAAAGCCGGATAATTTCGCCAAAATAGGCTTCCAGCACGCAGCATTATAAGTGATTCTCGTCGCGTAAATGGCATCTTATTGTCGAACGACGAGCCGCATTCACGATCAGTTGAATCGCTCTTCGCGCCAGAACTGGGCGACCTTCATTTACCCTCCAGAATGTCTTGTATACTGACGTAGGTGCCGGTGATGAAGCCCAAAACACCGAAGGCAATGATGAGGATGTTCTTCCACAGCCGCCAATTCCATTTTCCCATACCGTTCTCCAGTTCCCAGACGGTCACCAGCTCGATCACCGAAGGAAACATCAGACCCAAAGTGGACAGGCACACAGCCCCGACGAGGGAGATGAACGGACCTAGATTGGGATGGCGATCGCCACGCAAACGGTGAAGATTACCAACACGATACGGAGCAAGTATTCGCCGAGCAGTCGCCTTGAGCCGAAGTACTGCTTCGTATTCTTCCAGATTATTTCCATGGGCACGTAAAACTGGAGCCCGTAAGTCAGAAAGATCGCTATGGCGATCATTACTTTGGCGGATTGTGACAGTATCTCGTCTTGCGGGGGATTAAGTGTTATGGAAGCCTTTGTCTTATCGCCATATTTCCAGTAGCCGAAGAAACCGACGGTGCTATATAATAAAACGACGACAAACATGCCGGTGTTGAGTACACCCGGACAACCAATAAAGTGCATCGGTGTCTTCATATTATTCTCTAGCGGCATAACCTGGAACAGATTAGATAATAAACTTGACAATTTAGTCTTCATACAAATGGATGAAACTTTTTCAGTATTTAAAGAAAAGAGTGATTATTTATATGAAATATTGAAAACAATAGGGATTAAATCCTATTGGATTATTTTCCAGATAGCACTAGATATGAAAGTGCATAAATCTATCTCCAAATATTATGTGTACTGTGATATACTAATAATTGTAAATAAGTTGGTTTTATGTCCGAATTGTTACATCAATCCCAAAACATCTCTAGGAAACCTTTAAGACGTTTTTATATAAGACATGTCCCAATTTTGGACACGTTTCGAGTTTGGTGTTGTCTAAGATGCTTATGAAAGTGTATTGCACAAATATATGTATATCTCCAAATGTTATGTGTACTGCGATATATTAATATTTATAAATATGTACTAAATATAATAAGTAAATTTTATATCCAAAGTGTTACATCAATCCCAAAACATCTTTAGGAAATCTTTAAGATATCTTATGTTCCAATTTTGGACATGTTGCGAGTTTGGTGCTGTCTGGGATGCTTTTGAAGCGATTTGTTTAAAGGGAAAATAAGTAAAAGGATTAAGATGTGGATACTTACAACACCAATGCCTTCGAGGGCAAAGATGGCGGTGCCGAAGAAAAGAGGCAGTTGAGCCCAACTGGAGAAATTTGGAACATCACTGATGGTTGGTAGATCATTGAAGATGTAGTAGAAGGTAATGCCCATGCCTGTGGCAATCAACACGTTCGCTACCATGGAAAATGGCGCGAGGTATTTAAGATTTCTCACAAGGGAGAAAATAATGAGAAATGGTAGAAGCAATGCCATGTACATCCGCAGATCTTTGTCCGTTTCTGTGTAATAGTCTATAACTTCCTTAAGATTAGTCGAGATGAAGACGATGTACACGCAGCAACAACCGATCAGATCAATCACCAGGAACGAGTTGATCACCGCTCTGAAATAATATTAAAAATAATATTTGATAATACAGAGATTAATAGCAACAATCCAAAAGAAGATGTAATGGTGAAAGAGAAAATGAAGAAAGAAAAGAAGATAGCGGATAGAAAAAAAATTAGAGAGGAAAGAGAAAAAGTTAGAAAGAAGAGAAGAAAGAAAAGAATGAAGAAGGCAGAGGAAAAAAATAAAAAAGGAAGACAAGGAAGAAGAAAAGAGAAAATATAGAATAGTAGCAATAAGATATCAAGTTGTTATATAATAAATTATAAAAAAAGCTATTCTTTTTTTTACATATTTATAATCAGTGTTGCACTTAGATGATTTTAAAATTAATTAGATAAAGATAAGATGAAAATATGTAAATTTATTTTTAAATAAGATGATTTTGTTTTAAATATATCTAGATAAAAATTATATGGCGATTCATCTAGATAGCTTCCAGATAATATTAGTTTAAGTTCTACTACTCAAGTATTTTTATGTGCTGACCCTAAAACAAATTACATGAAATATTCTTCTACATAATTTACTAAAGATAACACTTTTTTCTTAAGATACAGATATAAATAATACATATTTTTATTATATGCAGATAATATAAATAATATATTGTCTATATAGATAACATTTATGTAGCAAGCGTACGTCACTTTAACGTCATTTTGACATTATAATGACGTCAGTTTGCTGGGTATCTATATAGATAATAAATAATCTTATCTAAAATATAATAGATAATCTTATCTGAAAATAAGATAACGGTAAAATTTTATCTAGATGATCATCTAGATGATCCATTTTCGTTAGATCACAGCAAACACTGTTTATAATATATAAGGACACTTACTTGGCGAGTCTGGCATATTTTTGAACGGGTTCGGGTCCCACTAGGAAAGCTGCCTCCGCGACATCAGCGAAGCCCAGACTAGGCGTTTGCAGCCTTCTGCAGAGGACGTGGGCGGATTTGACCAATATGTGTACGCAGTACGTGCAGATCGCGCCGATGAAAAATGTGGCGAAGAGACCGAAGGTGAGGCCGGCATTGCGAAAGGCCATCGGCATCGCGAGTATGCCCGTGCCAAGGCTCCCCTTGAGCAGATGTATAAACGTGTCGAGATCCGAGGTAGGATGGACAAGTTTCCGATGCTCGAATGGATTGTAAAGGGCGGCTTCCTCGTCGGTCGGTCGCTCCACAAGCGGCAAGGTCGAGCCGTTTGTGACCGTAATGGGCACGTCATTTTTCTCGCATTTGTATCTGGAAAACCGGCCACGTTAATATATCGCGAAATATAATGTAATAATCGCGGCGGACGCGATTTCGAATTAATGTAGGATATAAATTACATTATATATACAAGTGTTCTATATAAGGATGCTGTCACTTCTTTCGCCTCTACGGAATTATTTTTGATCAATTCGCTCGAAGAGATATTACCGTGATCAGCAAGATTGTGAAAATTACAAAATCCATGAAAAATTATATTTAAGATTTTTTTAAATCGACGAGTTGATGAAAAGATGTGTAAACACTATTATGTACTAATGTTATGTAAGTATATAACACAACTGAATATTACAGAAAATATTGCATAAGTGTTACTGCAAAGCTATACTGGTTAGTTTTAATTTCTCGCCCGTAAATGTAAAATATAATATAACATATATTTATATTCCATATACTAACAACTGTTTAAATAATTAGATCAGTAATAAATTATATTTAATTCATAAAATTTGATTTAATTTATATATAAAGTTGAATTCCGATTTTCTTTCGCCTCAAATCAATTTCCCATTTATTCGTCCAATTTCTAACAATTTATTTAATACAACGAATTTATTGCTAGAACAGTTCTGTAATCAGAAATTAAATGGATAGAAAATGATTACACATGGTTTAGATCTTATATTATGTGTTCTTTGTTTTGATTAGAAAAGTATTTTTTAATGCGAGAATTATTGAAAGAAATATTTAATAATGCTAATTATAGCTTTTCTGTCAATTTCAGTTTTTATAAAAAAAATTGAATTTTTAGCGCAATTTTATTCGTGTCGAATTGGTTAATTTAAATTGCGATTGCTGGTTGGAATCTGAAGCGAAGCTTTATATGTGATTTCATCTTATTATCAAAACTTCACGGCAACAACAACACTAAGAATGCTGAATTTGTGCATTCCGCAGCCACAAATATAAACAATGGCTCGCGTTACCGCATCCATTCTTGCGTTCTCTGCATTCATATGCGATCGCAGGCGCACGACGACTCTAGAAAAGTCATCAAATGATAGCAAGCAAATGATCCCAGTGGAAAATATTATACGTCGATGTCGCAGATTCTTTTACAACGAACATTGTTTATTATAATATAACATAAAAGTTATATATAAGTTATATCATATCATATAAATTATGTAAAACCGTATAAATTTATGTTATTATGCAGTGTTTAACAGTTATAATAAAATATTGATGCAATATAATAATATCAGTTTATAGTCGCTACATATGCGTACTATTTCATATTCAAGTTTCTGCCACGAATTAATATAAAGCCTACAAAGCGCAAAAACTACTAAGATTTTTACTAAAATTGTTTGTCTTTATTAGCATAATTTTTTTGATGATATATTTAAGAATCTTGGTAAATAAGAAATTATTGTTTATACTATTCATATTTGAGGCGCAAATAGATTCTAGTAAATTAAAACGAAAAATAAATTTAATTCTTATTCACAAATTAAGTTTTCTCGATTTTTATGAATTAAATAAATTAAAATTTCAATTATTTACATTTAATTCTATTATTATTTATTATTATTTCTGTGAGTAAAAATTACATCGAGCCAATAGTTATATGTGTAATATATTATATATTACTTATTACATATTTATGAATAAGAAATGACTGATAACCAAGATAGTAAAATTATTTTTGATTGTTGATAATATTAAAAATAATTATTTAAAATGGATTTAAATGTAAATTTATATAAATTTATAAATTGAATTTTATTTAAATTATGCACAAATTGCCCGTCATTCTTATTAATTTATAAGAAAAGTCGTAACAAAGTAAATATATTGGAAAATGTAATTAGAATTAAAATTTTAGTTTATTTTAAAATATTTCATTTACATTGAAAGGATTAATAAATTTAAGAAAATAGATTATTAAAATTTTAATAGAAAAATTAAATTTAAATATAGATGTAAAAATGTATTTGGTTAAGAAAATAAATATGTAGTTATGCAATGTTATTAATATTCAGTTCTGTTGCATCTCTATAACAATAATATGTATAACTGTGTTTACTAAATTTCTATCCTGATTTTTAAGAAAAACAGTTATTTAAAGAATACTAGAATTCCAAAAAGGATCGGTTTTTACTAAAAAAAAGGAAGTTTCTATTACAGACAGATAATATGACTAGGGAAATATTGCGCAACAGTGACGCAAAAATATCAAATATCACAAAAAAAAAAAAGAAAAAGAAACTGACCATAAATGATCATAAATGACTCATATGTGCCGTCTAAAGTTACTCGTAAGGTGTACTTTTATTTTATATATATATTTTATATCATACTTATTAAACTTTTTGAAAAATACAAATTTAAATGCAAAATGATTATTTTTGTTTTATTACGATTATTTATTTGACGTCATTAATGTTTTTACTCTTGAAAATAGCTACTTTTGAGTTTAACAATAATTTTAAGAATAAATATAAATAAATCTTCTGTATTAAAATTTAAAATGCGTTAAAATAAAATAAAAAAGTATATATTTTTAAAAAATCATTTCTCAGTAAAAATTTTTTTTACTTTTGTATGCTCAAATAATGAACTTCTTGAAAGATTTAACTCTTTTATCATTTTTTTTTGTAAATTGTTGTCAAAAGTAAAAAAATCCTAATATTATTTTTTTCATGTATTCATTAAAAAGTTACAATTTTTAAATAAATCTACATTTAGAGTAAAGTAATTTAAATTCAAATAACATTTTTTATAGAATTTGAAAAATGTAACTAATTTCTAGAAACTTGAAAATTCATAAATTATTTCAGATTTTTTGGTGATATTTTAATATGGTTAAAATCTTCCTGAAATTATATTTGTGTGATATTTAATTTTTCACGTGCTGTAGTTACAAATAATTATAAAATAAATTTTTTAGTTGTTGATTTTAAAAATCGTTATCATTTTTATTATTTTTTGTGAACTAATTTATCATTTTCATTTTTTTTAATATCAGAGGAAAATTTTAGAAATGTGTAGACACATATATATTCGGCAACGAGTCATTTTTTGTAAAAAAAAGCACCTCTTATAATATATTTGAATATGTTTTTTCCGATTTGTAGTAAGAATCGGAAATGCATTATGAGTAATAAATTTATATGATGTGTGTGTGTATGTGTATGTGTGTGTTTGTATGTATGTATGTATGTATGTATATATGTCTCTGCACTAATGAAGGTGAAAAGTGTAAACGTATACATATGTGTGAAACAGAGAGAGAAATAAAAATAAATATAATACGTTTATGTACATAGATCGATTAGATTAAATTAAGTCAGAGTTGGGAAAGTTACTTTATAAAAGTAACTCGCGTGTTGTTAATTTTTAAAAATAATTTATTATCGTCATATCATTACACTTCTAAAAGTAACGAATCGTTACAATTTTTAATTTTTTTTCAATATATTTATAAGATCAATTTATACATAAAATAAACACACATAAAAAATTCACATTATTTAAATATTTTTTATATTAAAATGTATGTATAACAAAAACAATATAATTTTGTGATATTGATATCGCTATCAGCATAAAGTGCATAATAATTTTAAATCTTAATATTTGAATTAGGAAAAATTTTTTTACAAATTTTATTTCTCAAAAATTTCCAAATTTTGTAAGCGTAAATTAAAACAAGTTTTTCTAAGTTGATTTTTTTATAAATATGGCTAAAATTGTCTTTTTTATTTCTTTATTTAATTTCAAAATTGCTTGGGTCGTTATTGAAAAAAAATCTATCGAAGTTTCTTTTTTCGTTATAGATAAAAATTTGTAATAATTTTTGACGTCTATATAATGACGTCTATGACGTCAGTTTATAACTTGGGTCAGTTTATTACTTGGGTCAGTTTATTACTTGGGTTATCGAAAAAAATGTATCGAAGTTACTTTTTTCGTTATAAATAAAAATTTGTAACAATCTGTGACGTCTATATAATAACGTCATTAGACGTCATAGACGTCAAAGTGACTATGATGTCAGTTTGTTACTTGGATTGTTATCGAAAAAATTGTCGAAGTTCCTTTTTTTTGTTATAGACAAAACTTTGTAGCACCAATAAAGTATTACAAAAAAAAGTACTGTAACGAATGTTACGTAAGTGTAACGCATTGCTCTTCCCCAACCCTGCTGGGTTAGATTAATAAGAAGAAGACAAGTGTGTAGAGATAGATAGGTATTATAGATACCCATATTTTTTAGGTGCGGTAGTTTCTCTTCGTAGTCGTGCAAAATTGCATTCTGTTGAGAAAGCTCTGGATTAGAGAATTTGTGTGTGTCCATGTCTCTCTTTCTCTCATCACGTGCTGTCTCGCAACGTGACGTGAAGAGATGAAGAAGTTCAGACGCGCGTCGCGGTATAACATATAGGCATACATACAGAGGAGCAGCTGCAACCACCGCACTGCATCACTATGCGACGACCAGCGCCACGACGCAGTACGACGACTAACAAGCCTCCTTTGCTTGCCGATTTTTTTTTTGTTTTTGCACTTTTGGTCAAGTGTTTTTGTTTACACATTTTTACACACGTCTCGGCAATCTATATTGTCAAATTAATTCCCCAATGTCTCGGCGTTTAATCACGACGGATTCTACAACTGTCCGATGAGAGATCGCGTCTCAGATTATTACGTCATATGCATAAGTCGGTGTCGCGTCATAATATGGTCAAGGATGTACAAAATGAGTGTTCAAACTCAATTGAAATAAAAAATGCAAAATAGTTGGAAATTTTCCATTTGAAAATGTAAAATGCAAAATGCTTCTTAGACACCCATTTTAAATAGAGAATAAAAAATAATTTCGTTAAAATATATTTATTAAAATATTTAATATAAAAAATAGTTTTTAAAAATAAAAATTATTTTTTAAAATATTATTTAAATTCTTATTTTTATATTATTTTTACTTTTTACAATTATTACGTATATTTCTTATTTTATTATTTTTATGAACTATGTATTTTATATAAACAAAAAAATTATATAAATGTATTTACATGTAGAATTATAAAAAATGTTTATTATTAGAGACATTTAGATATCTCGATTAATTTTTGGTTTGTAAGAGAAAATGCATTTGAAATAAAAAATGGATAATAAAAATCATCCAAATGTAAATACAAAATACTTTCCAGAAATATGTTTATTTTAAATATAAAATAGGCATTTTACATTTCATATTTCTATTTTAAATTCATCTAATTCAAACAATGCACATCCTTAAATATAGTGACGTATCGTCATCACTGTGAATTTTTTATTATTAAAATAAATTATTAAAAGCGTCAGTCCGATAGTGTCAGATTTTTTTTAACGTATATATATATATATATATATTTTTTATTATTCTCTTTCGTTATTTGCAGAGAGCACTTTCATAGAGCCCGAATCTATGCCCGGAGTTTATACTGTCTGGAATCATATAAATGCACATATTATACAATAAAGACAGAGACAAATCTTTTATTCTCCTTAAATTTTCTAGGAATTATTTTGTTTTTGCATACCGCATGATCTCTATCGTCTACAACGTATACTTCTCGATTAATCGCTGGAGAAACTGCAACGACTCTCTCTTTCTGCTGTATTTTTTCCGCGCGAAAAAATGACGTCACTCGATATCATAAATCATAAGATGTAATAAGTCATATATAATATATGTAAGAGAGCGATAGTACGATGTAAAAATTGATGAGGTGAAATCTGACAATAATTCTTTTGGATACAATGTTGATATTTATAGATATAACATTAATTACGTCGTAAAACTTAAAAGTGCATATATAAAGCTACCTAATTATATACGATATTTTTTATCATATGATATGAGAGATAAAGGAAGAGAAAGAATTGATCGAAAAAATATTAAATATGAGATCTTTGGCAAAACTGATTTTCTCTACAGATGTATTCCTGATATTTTATTAATATATTGTTTATTACATATCTAAAATAGAGCAAGTTAATATAATAAATATATACTTAAACAAAAGTATTACTCAAAAATCGAATATTGTATAATATTGTAACAATATATATACGTTTCAGGTAGCAAGCGTACGTCATTTTGACGTCCATGACGTCATTATATGACGCCGTGACGTCATTTTGACGTCGATTTATGTCATTTTGACATCGATGGTGTCATTTTGACGCCGAGACACCATTTTGACGTTTAATGACGTCAGTTTGAGGCAACAAATATTGAATTTTTGGACTATATCGAATATTGACGACAGAAAGGCAACTTATATAACATAATCAATGACATAATCAAACATGATCTGCTCTATTGTTATAACGTGACAATAGAGATACAGATGATTGAAATGCAGCACAGCCTATTATATCAAGTACTTTGATTGAAGAAAGCATCTGTCATCATAAAGTGGCGACAAAACTTAACAAAGAGAACATTCAGGAAAGACAATTATATCAATGTTATATAAGTACAACAAAATATTATTGCATAGATATGAGTCAGTTATTTGTAATTTCTCACTCATAAATGTAATGTTACATCGTAGTTATATTCTATATAACACAAAAAAAATTGGTCCAATTAAACAATTATTAATAATTAATTTATTTAATTCATTTAATTAATTAATTTAATTCCTAAAATTTATATCTGACCATGAACGAAAGAATCTAATAATATTATGGCATCTCCGTACTTCTGCTATTATTTCATAACAATAGATCATGCTGTGTCTGTATTTCACATTCTTGCAATAAGTAGATTTCTAATGACATTTTGTTAGCACGTCATGACGTCATGTTTATTTTCTATTGAAATATATTGAATGTCCACACATACACACGCAAATTCTGCAAAAATTCTATTCCTTTTATACAAAGGCAAGTTCTATTCTTGTAACAGTTTTTTTCTAGTCTAGTATATTTGCATGTCTGCTCGTTTTCTGTTGCATTTCTGTCGACACGTGCTAAAATGCTAAAACGCTAAAATGCCAGCAGATCTCATGCTCGGTTGCTTCCGGAATTTTATTAACATATGCAGCACGCAATTTGCAATGCATATATATGCAATTTCTTGACAGATCGGCTATGTGAATGATTTACGATGAAGTTTTTAAAAATCATAAATTAAGTAGAAAATGAATCGAAAGGAGTACATATGTGAGAATTAAGTAGAATTGAAAATTGATCGGTTTTTTTTGTTAAATAATAATTGAATGTATAATTTCCTTTTGGTAAAGTTAAAGTAACGAAAAATCACAATACGGTGAAAAAAGTCCGTAATAAATGTATAAATATATAAGCGTGAAGTAGCAAAGACCAGCAGTTTGACGTGAACAATTTACGTTAAACGCTAAACTACTTCAAGGTCGGGAGAATTCACAAGTGTAAAAAAAAAAAATATTACGTCAGTAGAGTAAAACGTCAGTAGAAAGAGGAGTTTTGTCTTTAACGCAAAGGATCAAAAGACTTCCTTGTTAAATCGCCGCTAAATCTACGAGAAAAATCGATCGTTTGTATGAACATTCGAAATTTTCATTACTTTTTTTATTGCGATATCTTAGGAAAGCAAAAAATATATTTACCATTAGAAAATCATTAATCGTTTGTCCGTATTAATTGTTTACTCTTAGAACAAAATTTATTGTTAGTAACATATATTTATAATAATTAATTTAGGATAACAAATAATTTATCTTTTCAGATATCTCCCCAAATTCTAAATATTAAATTATTAATATATAAATTAATCGCTAATAGTTAATTAATAATTAATAATTATTTTGATAGTAAAATCTGAGATATTTAAAAAAAGAATAATATTTAAACCAAATTTTTTACTTTATATAATCATGATCTATATTGCATTAATTTCACCATTCTGCGCATAATCGAGAAAGAAACTTTTCAATTATCCGTTTGTTGTTTGTTTGCTAAGTTGAGATAGTTTATCATATTTTATTATACATATATGTATAGATATGCTGTTGATGCTTCAATTATTATTTTTGTTTATTCAAAAAAAAATGAAAACTTTTTTTATGTTATTACTAACATAAAAATAATAGATTTTTAGAAATCATCTTCAGTGACAAACTTTAGAATATCAGTGATATCAGTCGAAAAACAACGATCTATCTCGACATATCAAACGGAAACCGTCGAGATAGATCGTTGTTTTTTGACTGATATCATTGCTATTCTAAAGTTTGTCACTGAAGATGGTTAAATAATAAACGAAACGTTTGACAATTGATTGCTGTTATTACTTTATTACAACTTTACACCAAGATCGTGTACGTGCTCTTTGCCCATTTGTTACTCTTTAAATATTATTTACAGCCCAACTAGTAAAAAGCGTGTTAATAATATATTTTATTATATTTTTCTATTTTTCATTGTTACGATAATATCGATTTAAAATGCCATATTTTAATTTTTCTAAACATTTTTTAATTATCACTTAAAAAATTATTTAGTAATCTATTTTTAACGAGAGAAAAAAAGATAACGATTATAAAAATAATTTTGGAGATCGCTCTATCTTTAGAAATTAGATATATTTCATAGGCTTTACGTAATCGATATTGTTATGTCTTGAAAGTTTAAAAGATCTTGCTTAGATTAAATGTATTTCTCGTGTTGCGCGGTATGAAAAAACATGACACAATAAGCAGATACATACAAGAATAAGAAACGCCTTAAATGTGAATTTGCACAATATCGAGGCACATATTTGACACGTGTATTTATCTCGACAAATATTTGCGCATCATAATTGTTAATTATTAAAAAAGAAACGAATAATAATAGAATAATAATTTTTTAATAATAAAATATTTTTTAATAATTTATTTAATATATTTATTTTTGATAATAATATTTTGTTTTCTCTCGAACAATCAATTGATGATGCGAGAATATTTAGAAATATCCATTGACACGTATGTAAATTCATGTGTTGAGGCATTTCCGATTCGATTTATATGTAGATATAAATATATCTCTGTTTTTTTATATGTATATGCATACAAACGAACAATTTTGCACTCGTCCAAGATTCAATAAGCGGCTGTCATAAGCATCCTTGGTGCCAACTACGCTACGAATTCTACGTCAGCGATCAGGCGGTATGCACGATTAGTGTCTGTATGTGTGTGTGCGTGTGCGTGTGGTAAATAACGATTAGAATAGTTTAAAACGATAAAAACAAAACGACAAAACAAAACAAAAGAGAAATAAACAAAAATAAGTAAATTAAAAAATTAAATCAGTATATACTAAATACAAAATGTGTAGCACAGAGAAAATGAAACAGTATACATATATATTGACGAAAAAATGTAGATGCACAATATATGATCCTTGGGTTTTTCTCACTCACGTTTGCTTGAACACTTTTGGGTTTTTAGCAAGAAAGCAATGATGATGATATATATTGGTCTGGTGGTATAGGCAGATAATGAGACTCGTTCAACTATGATTATTGAACTGATCTCATTTGATCTCTTTTAATGAAAGTTTGAGACTTACTTGACGAGCATCACGTCTGAGAGTTCTGTTTTCACACCATGCTTCTTTGGCTCATATTCTGCTATCATCGGACGCAGTGGCGTTTTCTGTAACAGAACAAGTTGGGAAAGTCAGTCAATTATTGCACAAAATATTAAGCTTACAATAAATGTTAATATAATGGAAATAGATCAGCTTTGTACATCGCTTATACCCTTTTTTATACAGATATGTTTTGGTCTACATACGTATCGGAATTGTACTCAATATTTTTTTATTAAAAAAATTATGATAAATCAGCGAAAAAAAATAATTTTCCATGAAATTAATTCATTTAATAGACATTATGACATTTTGATAGACATTATGATTAACCGAAAGGAAATGATCATCAATCAAATTAAATATGCAATAATAAATTTGTCGATAATGCAGCGAATAGCAAGAGCTAATTAATAAGATATTAAACAGTGCATAGTAAGGAAAATTAATTCATTTGATGAATTGAGAACACACACATATTCCATATAACATATAACATATTCCATATAACATCTTCACCCCAATGTGGAGATGATCGTCTTCCACTCCCGACAGCGAGCTCATTTCCACATCGTGGGCACTATCACTGTTCCCCATTCTCGCTTTCATGAAAACTCTTCTTCCTTGAGATATATATTCTTGATAAACACGCGCAAACACCCTGCTAAGACTCTACAGAAATGAAACGTCACTTGTACCACGATCTCATCATTTCTCGATGTTATCCATATTTGGTTCACTTGTGGAACACCAAAGTATCCCGAGTGCACGTATCAGTTTCCACAATTAATCGATACAATCGCAGACGACACGTGAAATACATGAAAACAGAGTGTGTTATGGTACTACTTGTAAGAAAAACACGATTTTTTCTTTATGGAGATCAATATTCGACAATATCCCTCTCTAGGAGCAACCCAATAAGGATCCCGTTCACGTCTAAGTGTCTCTATGTCCACATACGACATGTGAAACACATGAAAACAGTGTGTATTTGATGTTACTACTTGTAAGAAAAACACGATTTTTTCTTTATGGAGAACAATATCCGACAATATCCCTCTCTAGGAGCAACCCAATAAGGATCCCGTTCACGTCTAGGTGTCTCTATGTCCACATACGCGTTTGTTTCGTGTGCGGCGCGAAGATACGCGTGATGAGGCAAGAACGAGAGGTTCTATCTTAAGACACCCCACTTATGGTCCACGGTGTCCGGACAAGAATGCGAAAATCGACGTCAACACGGCGTAAAACGAACATGTCACGACGACGACGAGTGTCTACGGCCACTCGGAACCGAATTGCATATCCTCTCACTGGTTAGGTGCGATTCTGGTGCACGTCGCAAGACGCCACTATCCGGTTCGCTTCTCCTATGTACGGCGTCGGTGAGCGGCGCCAAAAACGACTACCGGTTGCCAAATCTTTTGGCAATGCCCGAGGACAGACTCTTTATATACCGAACGACTTACGAAAATAGGAAGAGCAAACAGACGCGCCGTCTGCATTTCACGTGAGCCGCGATCATCTCTCTCTGGTCGGCCATCTGACTGCGCTAACCAGGTTTAACAGAATTTGTTTGAACACGGTGTGACAGACGGACCTCGTTATCGTCGGCCATCTTCTTTTCGAAGAAGGATTATATCCGACTATTAATCATCGTTTTATGTTAAAACGCAGAAAATTCGTACCTATATCTGTACATATATCCGTTTGTGACGCAATTCGAACTCGATTGAGACGTGTGTCGTGAAAATGAGTGAGATAATGGGTGATATAACTTTATTTATACAGAGTGTTTCAGGAGGAGTGGTCAGCACTTTAGGACATATTGTATTCATTATTTTAAGCAAAAAAGTTTATATAAACGTGTGCCCTATTCTGGACAGTTATAAAAATACAATAGGTAGCAAGCATATGTCATTTTGACGTTTAATGACATTAGTTTGCTACTTGGGACGTATTCGTTAACTTATTAAAATCAATTTCTATGAAATAATTGCATGAAATTTTAAGCTTACTATACATTAGAATAATTAATATTAATTTAATAAACAATAATTTCAATTAATTAATAATAATTTTGTCACGAGTGAATGAACCATTTTAATTACACGAAAAATCAATTTGAAACTAACACAAGACTTATCAAACGTGATTCAATGTTTACATTTGTAATCATGGTAATAGAAAACGACGAAAATTTAATATAATTGTTTTATTTAGTTCTACTAATTGTAAGTTAATAAGTGTATTTCTTCTTAGAAATTGGATCTTTACAACTCCAGAATAGGATTCATGTTTAATATAATTTTTTTGCTTAAAATGATGTGTACAATCAAGTCCTAAAATGTTGTACCATTCTTCCTGAAACACCCTATATATCCATTTGCGACGCAATTCAAACTTAATCAAAACATGAATCGTAAAAAAGACTGAGATGCTTGAAATAACTTTATATATATACAGGGTGTCTCATTTTAATGGAAACAACTGTATATATGTCTTAAATATCTTATTGTACAAAAAATGTTTTTTAGATTTTAAATAAAATTTATTAGCGTTTTAAAAATCTTGAATCTTAACTAAGATTATTTTTCAAGATCACGTAAAGATCCATCTAATTTATTTAAATAGAGTTATCATAATTTTTATACATAAATCGATTCCTTATAATATTCGGTATAAAAAATTATAAAGGTAGGATGGCCAAAAATTAGATTATATTTATGTGACAATTTGACACATAAATATATTAAACTATCTCTCGTAAAATATTCATCTTTCGATGGTCTAAAAATCAGTTTTGAAATTTTTTTGCAATAATTAATTAAATTAGAGAAATTGATTGAAAAAAACCGGTCAATTAACACGAGACTATACAGCAACTAAGGAATATTCTTACGACTCGTATAAGCACGTGACAAAATGTTAATGAATGATACGCTGTCACGCTTGCTCGTAGCTCTAATCACGCGATAAGGAAACGGAAATCTCGGAAAGTAATCGCAAGTGTGAATTAGCTTAATCAGCTGGCAGGAAGAAGGAAGGGATATAAAGCGATACCGAAATGGGGGAGCTGAGCGGTCGCGGCCTTGAAGATTAATCGTACTATCATGTGTGTGCCATTAATTGTAAAATTATACATATATACGTTTTTACGAATAAACACTATGATGTACGAGATATAACAAGGCCGAATTGTGATAATTATTAAAAGAATATTGATTTGAAATATAATTGTGCAAATTATTGTCAAGTAGCCAACTGTCCGCGAAGCTCTGCTGTCATGTTGCCAATAATTGTTCAAGTAATAACTAATATTGAAAAAACTAGGAACGAAGTGCGACAGCATATGTTTGTCATGTTGAACTTACGTGAATTCTAATTCTAAGAATAGCAAATTGTGACGGCAAACGTGTTAACATCGATTTGCTGCTCGTAAAAGGGGTGATTTGTGTGACAGCGACTTGATTAAAATTCGTCATCAAAGACATACGCGATTTTGTATCGCGATGATTGCGCAAAAGATAAGGTTTATCTGTAGATAGATCGGATTATTTACCTATAAATTGATTAGAATATTACAAAAAGCGCACATATAGTTGTTTCCTTATTATATCATATGTTATTTCAATAAAGTTCAATGTAATACAATAGAATATAAATTAATGATATAATAATAATAATAATATTAATAATAAAAAGAAATGTCTACAAATGTTAATTTTTGTTCATTTATATATATATATATATATATATATACATTTTTCGATCTAAAAATATGTATTATTATTTAATTCTTATTTTTTTAAAAGCATCAATCTTTCTTAAAAAAAAAAACAAAAAGATTGTTTAATTAGAAAGGTAAATAAAGACGTGTAATAAGGAAGCTGCTTAATTAAATCGTTTTAAAACTGCTATTTTGAATTTTATAGTATAGAAAATTCCATAATTCCAGTATAGCAAGTTTAAAAAAAAGTTGTCAAAAAAAGTAAATAAATTAATTTAAATTAAGATTTTATAAAATTAGAAAATATTCCAAAAAATGTAAAGAAAGAGAATTAAAATTTTTAATCAACAGATTTAAGAGGATGTCGGAGTAATTTTGTGTTATCGATCGAAAAGTGAGTGATACATTTTGATTTTGTAAATTTATACTTTGATTGGCTATACAGATTGATAAATCCTTTTCCACAATTAAAGTATTAATATTAACAAACCGCGTTAGCTTATAATTTCAAGTAATAAACAATCTGAATAGCCATAATAAATAGATTTATAGTCGAATCTAACCAAACTTTTCGATCGATAAATCAGAACTAATCCGGCATCCTCTGAAGAGATTTTTCCGTTCGGTGATCAAAAATTTGGACTATGATCGAACAAATTGACAATATATATAATTTGATCATCATCAGCGCGACATGTCACGTATGGCTGCTACGTACGAAAAATTTAGCCGGTTCAAGTGTCAAATATAACTCCTATCTAAATATAAGATCGCGTTGTTAATAAGCGAATCGTAAATCGGCGTAATGGGCTCTATTGGATGAAATTACGACATATTAAAGGTCGAGGCTACAGGCGTTTCTTTCTGCACAAAGCGTGTAATATTCAATGCCGGCTCCAATAACGATATAAATTGCGAGGCCCGATCTGTGAATGCCATTGTGCGTTATATATTCTCCTGCCTCGTGTGTCTCATCTACATATTCTACGCTTATCAACTATCATGATACGGTATGGGGAAAGAGAAGGGAGGGGAGGAGGAGATCAGTGGCGGCGACAGAGCGACGAAATAGCGAATTAACAAATCTAACAGTAACGTCACATCCTCATCCCGACAAACGGTACGTTACATATGCGGTTTGTATTCGCGTGGGAATTTTTGCACTCTCATTTCTGTCGCGGTTTTTGAATTATGCATGCGTATCATAAAAGCCGTGGCGCTTCTCAAACTGAAATATATATGAAACGATATGAGATGTCAAAAAGTTTTATTTAAGAAGTGCAAGAATAAATTCCATTTTTTTTGTTTGTTACAAGCTTAAGACACTCTTGA